TGACCTGTGCGAGGCCACTCACCTTTACCACGAATCACTTCTGTGCCAAATGTGATAAGATCCCCTTGACTGAGCGGGTGTTCCTGCTCGCTGGCGAGTTTCTTTCCGTTTACGTAGGTACCGTGCATTGATCCACCATCTCGAAGATAGGCGAGCTAGTTAAACAATCATTAGCGAAGGCTGCCCAGGTGCTAATACAGATGCTCAGGAGGCGCATGCTCAAGAGACACACACTCGAGAGAGACACACTCAAGAGACGCATACCTTCTTGTCCAGACGTACTATCAGTTGAGCATGGTTTCTTGACATAACTCGCGAATCGAATAGCCCATTATCCTTGCAGGGAACGAGGTTCTTGGACTCCCGCTTTGACGCTCGCCCGATACATACATCGGTAGTATCAGGTGTAAACTTGAGAGATCGGCATGGGAACTCATCGATCGGAGTCAGCGGACGAAGGTTAACAACAACAGCTATGATACCGATAAGTCAGCCATGGAGTTCTCGTTTCTGGGGGGTTCCGGATCTCGTTGAGATCCGAGCTCGGCGAGGTTACGGAAGGTGGACCGTGTGAGCTTGACTAATGTGCCGGGGAAGGAGTAAGCCAGTCCAGGTAAACACATACCTTCTGAGACGAGCATGATGTCAGTTTTCTAGAGCCGATCGCTCTGAGCGCTATCGATCATTCAGCCTAGATAAATGTAGTCCTAGTGGCTGTGTTAAGATCGGGTTGTGAGAGAGGAGGAGAATGATGAGACAAAGATGGGTTGGAAGACGGGGAGACTCGAGTAGGTTGAAGAGGGGCAGCAGCAGGCCACCACCTACCCGATGTAATCAGCAGCCCGAGGACAGTCAAAAGGCGGTCGTCGTGAAGGGAGGAAATATGGATCTGACACCACTGGATGATCGAGCTGAAACAATCAAGTACAAACCAAGCTTCAAGGATGTGTAGGCGGCGAGCTTGGTGGGAATCTGAGAATGCTGATGTAGTTCGTTTGATGAGGTAGGGAAGGGGGAAACCTAGGGGGGGGGGGTTTAGGAGAGGGGAAGGAGAGCGATGAAGGCAAAGGAAAGAGGAGCCCAGACAGCTAGTACAGGACCAACAATGAAAGATACAAAGCAGTCCGGTATTTGACGGACCGGAATTCCAGAACCAGCAGTTTAGAAACAAGTGGTGAACCAGCACAGCATCGAAGTACTCAGTATCAGTAGTACTGTATTGAACGACGACGACGATAAGTTGAATGGATAATGACGGGAAAGATGGAGAGGGGCGATCACTGATAGGCGGATAAGTGGGGGCTTCCCGTCAGGTGGACGAAAGAACAGTCATAGTGAGGGACTAGTGAGGAAATTCCGGGGCTTATCCGGGAGTCGGGACCACCTCCCGCCGCCCGCACCTTTACAACATCTTGAGGGGGAATCTTCTTACATTGGGAATCACATCAGGAATTATTACAGCTTCCAGCGGCCGAAGGTATTGCTACTTACTTGTAGTATAGTTGTGTTCAATTGTGAGTAGTCATGATTATTGATTTCAGATCTGCTAAGTTTATCTTATTGTAGGTATTATGTACTCGAAAACCTTAGGTTATTACTGATTTGAAGTCATACAAGAGAGGTGAAGACAGTGGATTAATAACGGTGCTACAAAATCAACAATTATTGAGAACTAAACTGAATATTAGGATTCCATATTAGGAAGTCTTTTTCTATTTCAATCTCTTGTTATAATTGTCAGCATGTGATTGTGCAGAAGATAAAAGTTTCGTAAGGCATACCGCCTACTATACAAGGTTTGGATCCGGTAGCTTTAGGATTACAACCGTTGTCAATAGCAATTATCGGCCCCTTCTACGGACTATCTTGTATACCAAAATATCACTTCGACCTCCTACGAACCACACGACGATAACAAGAATACTCATAACAAGTGACATCCTTCGTCCATTTCTTCATCACTTTCTTCTTCCTGCTGCTGCTCCTGCCTCTTGCACAGTACTATTATACATTGTCGTACACTTCTCATCGGCCTCCCTTACGACAGTCGTCCAGCCGCAGTATCGACACGCAGCCATACCAGTTATACCCCCCTCCCCCTGCAGAACATTTCAAAGCACGGCATCTTTCAGGCCATTCTTTCTTGACAAAGAGCCCGGTGCGCAACCAGACATTCATAGGGAATAGGAAACCCGCCTCTATACGAGGAACATCCTTTAATGACACACGATTGCAAATTAAGGAAAAGCAGCACCAAACAAAAGAGATCCATACACAGTATATCAGTGGGGAGAAAGATTAACACAAGTCGTAGAATAAATACACGCAGTGGATGAGTGGTCCAGGCGCCCTAAAAACACCCTCAAAAAACCAGGGTAGAAGATGACACAACCAGGCACGGATATTGCCTACAACACTCGGTGGATCGGAAAGAGTTGATAACGACGGTGAGGGGAGGTGGAGGAGGACGATTAAGTCGAGATCATATCATAGGTCGGGCTTACAGACCGGGGGCACCGAAGCCACCTCCGGCACTCATGCCCTGCAATCGGGCAGCAAGTTGGGGGTACTTCTCTTGCACCTCCAGCTGCGTGCGAGTGGCCTCGGCGTAGGAGATAGCATTGATGATCTCGGCCTCCGTACGAGCGAGTTCGGCAGCGCGCTCGAAGTACTTGAGGGCTTGGGAGACCTTGCCCTGCTGCAACAGCAGCTGGGCCATGGTACCCACAGCAATGTCGCACTCGGGGTCAACTGTCATGGAGTTAGTATCGAGATGGGCGCAGCGCATTAAGGTCTACCGTGACACTTACTAATCAGGGCCTTCTGGCAGAGGTTCTCGGCCTCCTGGAAGTCATGCTTCCACTGGAACAGCGCAAGGGCCTTGTTGATGAGGGGCAGGACATTGATGCCCATGGGCTTGCTCTGCTTCTCCATCTCGACGGCCTTGTCGAACTTCTCGATGGCCTCTTGGAAGTTCTGCTGGTCAAGGAGAAGTTCACCGTAGTAGTTGTAGACATCCGGAACATCCTCGAAGTTCTTCACGGATCTGCGGAAGGTGGCCATGGCGGAAGCGACAGATCCCATCTTGTACTGAGTGACACCAAGCTGGATGTGCGAGTAGATAAAGGTACGGTCGAGATCGATGGACTTCTGGTAATCCTTAGCGGCCTCGGCGAACTCACCAAGGATGAAGTGGAGCTGGGCGCGGTGGTAGTAGATATCAGGGTCGTCCTTGTTGTGAGTAATGGCAAGTTCGAAGTCATCGGCGGCAGCATCCTTGTTTCCTGTATAACGTTATTAGACATGCAAATGGGGAGAGCCTTAGTTGTATTCACGTACCGAGTTCCAGGTGCAAGCTGGCACGCTTGATGTAGCTCTGCACCAGAGAGGGCTGCAGCTCAACACTCTTGTTGAGGTCCAGCAGCGCAGCCTGGGCATTGCCGACCAGGTAAGTGAAAGTAGCTCTCATGTTGAGGGCCAAGGCTTCGAAGTCACCGAGATCGCCAACCTCGAGGGCTTTCTCAAAGGATGTAGCAGCCTCCTCGTAGCCATCCCCAGTCTTCTTGGCCATGGCAATCAGACCCTTGCGCAGAAGGCCCTTACCAGACTCTTCGCTCAGGTCGGCGGACTCGTCCAGACCTTCCGGAAGAGGCCTGGGGCGGAAGCTCTGAAGGTAGTTGGACACGAAAGTGGGGCTAGGCAGCTTCTTGCCCTTGGCCTCGAGGATATCCTTGCCCTTCTTCTCAGCAACCTTCTTCAGGAGTCTCTCGAGGGCGACGCGGCTGATCTCGTTGGAGAAACCGTCGATAATGCAGCTGGCGGTGAAGTCGAGAAGAGCCTCGCTGTACTGCTCGAGGTGCTCATATGCGATAGCGCGGCGGTTCAGGGCCTTGACATATTCGCTGTCCATGGCGAGAGCGGCGCTGGTGTCCTCGACGACCTTCTCCCACTCGGACAAAACGTTGTAGCAGGCAGCACGGTTGGAGTAAAAGACGGGGTCGGGCTTGCAAATGATGGCCTTGCCGTACAGTTCAATGGCCCGGTTATAGTCCTTGGAGCCATATGCCTTGTTTCCAGCAGCCTTCAGCTTGGCAGCGTAGGCCTTTCTTGTCTGCAAATTTGAGGGGGATACAATCAGCAAGAGTATTCAACCACCATTTACCACAAAGGATAATCGCGCACCTCCTCGGACAACTGCTCAACAGTAGTCTCGTCAACTTCAGGAATCTCATCGGAAGGCTCTTCTGTCTTCTCAGCGGCCGGTTCTGCGAGATCATCATTAGCCCATACTTCGAGGGTCGACCGAGATCGGAGGATGCAACTGGACTGGACATACCCTCCTGGACAGAGGCAGCCTTGGCCTTCTTTTCCTCCTCGGCCTTCTTCTTCTCCTTCCGTCTCTGGTTCTTGCTCTTCTTCTTTTCTGTGGGGGCGGCAGTCGTGGTAGGGCGACCGGAATCGGAGAGGTAGTAGACGACACCCGCGCTAGTTACAACCACAGCGACACCGGCGATGGTGTAGACCAGAGCCTTGTTCTCCGACACCCATTTTGAGATACGATCCCATACTGAGGCTGAGGAAGAGGCGGGGAGGGAAGTGGTGTCGAGAACCACGTTCTTCGTTGGCTGGGGCAATGGTGATGCGCTCGACATGATGACCCGGCAGAGGAACCCGTTATCTTAGTCTGGTCTCTTTTTATCTATAATTCTGGGAAGGGGAAGTTAGCGCTGGAGACAGCGGTCAGATAAGAGTTCAATAGCGAGAGGAACGGACCGTCCTGGGTGCAGGGCAAGAGCTCGTCGGCAGGATGACTGCTTTGCTTCGTTGGGGAGGGGGGTGGAGATGGAAAAGAGCGAGGAGAGAGAGAGAGAGATGATGCGGTTTGAAAAGTTATGCGTTGCGATGTTCCGGCGACGCAGCGGGCTTCCCGAGCTCCTATGGGCCAATCACGCTCGCGGCAAGGGGATGCTCCGTCAGCTCCTGGTTCGCTCCACCACCGCATCTTCGTCATTCTCTCCTTCCTTGTTCGAGCGCAAATTGCTCCAAGGAAAGCTCCTGGTCTCATCAGACACTGATTGTTCTACCTGTGCTGAAAATATTTATCATTACAGCAACGCCGAACTTCCGTTCATAGCCAGGGCTACTAACAGTGCAGGATCTGGCTGAAGTGGTGGACCACGCGATCGATCAGGTCACCCCAGGGATGCAGTCAATGGCTTCCGCCTCGCTGGAAGAGGACTTCCAAATCATATCGTCTCTGCGCTATGATCCTGCGCTTCGGAGCTTGAGCACTGAGAAAGCCGCGGACAAACATTTCCACCCTTCCAGCACGCCATATTACCTGCTTCCCTACCATCAGGCACGGCTTCGTAATGCGGCAGAATGCTTCGGTTGGAAGAAGGCTCTGTCATTTCTACAAAAAGATCTCACCCAACTCTCTGAATACCTTGATGCTCACATCTTGGACAAGACGAGACCTTGGCGCATCCGGATTATCATCGAACGCACCGGAGCTTGCACTGTCGAGGTCAACCCGACAGCATCGATTGACCCATTGAACATGCTCATCCCCAATCGAGAACATACACAATCAAACCTATGGAATATTTATGTGGATACAGGGTATATAACTCCATCTGCGTTCACGAGGCACAAGACTACCGCTCGCGATTTCTACAATGCTGCACGGGTCAGAGCGGGGATCATGTCCCCGTTAGACCAGGCTGAGGTACTGCTTGTAAACCCCGAGGGTCAAGTTATGGAAGGGAGCATCACCACACCCTACTTCCGGCGCAGGCGACCCGTAAGTAAGGGCGAGAGCCTAGAGAGTGATACTGAGCCAGACTGGGTCACGCCTCCCCTCTCAAGTGGTGGTAATGCAGGCACAACAAGGCAATATGCGTTGGCTGAAGGGTTCTGTGCAGAGCAGATCATCGAAGTTGCTGACTTGATCGATGGCGAAGTGTGTTGGCTCAGTAACGGTGTCCGGGGCTTCATCCGTGGTAGAATTGTCTTAAACAGACTCGATGATGGGCAGTCCTAGAATCACACACGTGTCGAGAATGTCTACATGTGAGCAAAATAATTTGCAGATGTGAAACTCAGTTGGTCTATTCAAAGAACTGCAAATAGTACCGTTTCCATGCTGCGCTATAGTGCAGCCACGAATACTTCAGGGTGCAATTCCTTCGCGAGGCCAGTATCTTGGGTTAAGGGAGGCATCATAATTATACAATTGAAGAGAGGAGGTAAATGGGTGACAGTGCCAGCGGCTTTCGAGTACAGCGTACTTAGCGTTCCGGGTATATACTGTACATTTGGGTTAAACGAGGTATTGATGCAGTCCATCATGGATGGTTCTTTGCATCCAATAAGGAGTTCATAATTGACGTCAACCGCTGCACCAGTCGTATGAGGGCTTTGAACGTGTCTCCCAATCAACACCTGGCACCTGATAGCGTAGAACACAAATGCAGCTTGAGACGCTCGGGAGAGGGTAAGTCTCGCCATTTTCATAGACAAATCGCACGGTCGCAATATGCCAGCACCGGCTGTGTGATTGGCTGGGCAAGGCGAAAGAATCAGATGATGCAACGATTGGCGGTGCGCGGTCAAGTGAGTCAGCATCCCCGCATTCTAAAAAAGGCTTAGCTTAGAAGCTGACAGAAATTCTTCCCAGTCCCGGAGGTTCGGGCAGTTTTGTCCGGCCACTGCGAAAGGTGATTGAGCAGAATGGAGAGCTGATCATCCCCAAAACCTTACTGATTGTGTTGGAACTTAACAAGCAGTCTCGCCCACAACCACAACGCCACCCCCAGCCCAACTCCCACAATTCACAATCCCATATATCCATCCCATCCCATCAGTCGAACTTATCATATCATCTCTCAGATCAAATTCACACCTCAATCAATTCGTCTGTATGCATCAGCAGCTGCAAGAATGAAATTCTTCGAGAATGTCTCTACATACGACTACTCCTTCCCAGCCGTGTCGCTGGCTTACTTCCTCCGCTATCCTAACCCGTACTCTCGCCATGTTCTAACCACTGATGTCATTGACCGTTATGTCGACCCGGACACGAAACGCCTCCACACCATTCGTCTGCACCTCAAGAAGTCTAAAGTTCCGTCGGGGATTCTCAAGTTGCTGCCAAAGGGAATGGGCGGCTCGGACAGTTCCGGACAGAGCTACATCCTCGAAACGACCATCGTTGACGTCAATGAAGGCTGGATGAGGACTGAGTCGCGCAACATGGAGTGGACCGGGATCCTGAGTGTGGTGGAAAAGCAATTCTACCAACGTCAGCCGCTGGAGGGGGCTCTCGACCGACTTCAAGGGCTTCACCTCGACGCCAAGTTGAGCGAACAGACAACAGTCAAGACAACAGTCACCTTTCACTCCCGATTCGGACAAGGAAAGTTACTTGGCCGGAGAAAGGCAGAAGCCGGTGATCAAGTGGTCGAGGTCGAGGATGAGGCTCCCAAGAGAGGCTTCTTCACGTCACTATCCACGGCAGGCATCCAGCGCACGATTGAGCTAATCGGCTTGAATCGTACCCGGGACGCTATCCTCAAGAGTAAACAAGGCATGAATGTCGTCCTGGAACGTCTGCGCAGCGGTGGCATTGTCGGTGTCCTCGAGGGCATGCGCCAGGATCGGGAAGCCATTGTCGGGCCGGAGGGTCCGTGGAAGCGCGTTTGGCTCAGAGGTAACGGGGAAGATGATGAACATTGACTTCGAAGCGTCTGAGTGTTGGGTGAAGACGATTCGCTTCCAAGAAACATATTTTGGACATTCCAGCGTGGAGCTATGGCGTTTGGGTTTCTGTTTCTATTTTCTTACTGATATCAACTACCAGGACACTCTCCCACGTGATTATTCTTTGCACCAGCATATTCGAGCACGTTTTTGGAAGGGAAAAGAACACGGAAAGCACACGGGAAAAAGTGCTGTGTATACTAGGAAACGATTACACCAGAGACATTTTGTACAATATTGATAAACTTTGAGTCATTCTTCGCAATAAGCTCCAGGTCGAACTAACTGTACATGAGTAGTTCTACGCATTTGACAAGGCCCCCAGGAACCGCCCACCGCAGGGCCCTTTACCCAACAGCATCTGGATGCTCGTCGATCTCCAACTAGACTTTCTGACGGAGTTGCCAGGCTGCTTACTTACCGTCTACCTCGGTGGTCCTTGACTAGTTCCGCAGATAGCCTCACGTAGAAGAATCCAAGCATCTTCCACCTCTCTCGCAGGCGTCATCACTTTCCACCCACCATTCGAAGGGTGAGCGAGAATTGTCATTGAAGCTGACCTACTACTCAATCCAGCTCGGGTCACTGACTCGAGCCACAGTCTGCCGTGATGATTATGAAGCATGAACCGACCGCCAAACCATCAAGTCAACCCAGCCTCGATCAGCTTTACTTCCCACTCCCTACTTCCCTATGCAGGCCATCTGACAGGATTCAGGTTCCTTTAAAGCGAACAATCCGCTAGATCAGTGTCTTGATATTCTTGTGGCCGAGCGGTGCAACGCTCTCATCACCATCCACCCCAGCAACAGCAGCCCAATTCTCAATCGGAGTCCGGAGTATAGCAGCGGACTGCCCAACGTGAAGCATAACCACTCGTGTAACAGACAGCCCACCCCAGCATGCTGAACAGTACACCCACTCGATTCCCACCACCCATTCTCAGTATAAACCGCCTCTCCTCCTCGCCTCAACTTTACGAACACAAGCACAGTCCTCTCACCAAAACCCAAACCCACATCAATCACCCACAACTCAGAGCCCAATGCCCCCAACAATCGACAACCTAACCGGCAGCTGGACCCTAGCAAGTGCCCAATTCCCCTTTCCTCCCCAACTCCTAAACAGATATCTGCCCTTGAAACTAACCAACTAAACCCCCCGGAACCCTCCACGGAGAGCACGGGGGGAAATAACCGAATTACCAGGACAAATCCCTCTCCAGCGATCTAGACCCAATCCTCAAACTAGTACGCAACCTCTGAATCCCAAGGCAAAGCCACAACCCTAACCCCACGGGGTAACAAAAAAAAAAGCAAGGCATCCCCTGGCTCCTCCGCAAGACCATCCTCTACACCCCGCTTACCATCCAAATCACCCACACCACTACCACAAACAACGCGGACGGTAGCAAAACAATCCACCTCACCGCCCGCCAAACCAGCATCAAAGCCGCCAGCCCGCCACCGGATATCCGGCACTTCGACTGGGAGATCTACTCGCAGGAGAATTTTTTGTTCGGGGGGATTGTGTGTCGGAATCGGTTTATCAGGGGGGATTCCTCGGTAGCTGCCCTTATGGACGCAGGAGGAAGTGATGGTGGTGGTGATGATGGGGTGGTTAGGCCTGCAGTGGAGGTGCAAAGTCCGCTGAAAGATGGCGGGGATCAGGCGGTTGTGAGGAGGTTCTTGCGGGGGGAGGTGGAGGTTGATGGGTGCACGCTCTCGGAGGGGTTCCTTGTGGAGATGCCTATGGTTAGGGGGTTGTTTGGGGAGGATGGAGGGGAGGAAGGTCAGGGCGACGGGGGGGTGGGAATTTGGGGGCATGTTTTTGATCGGAAGAAGGGTGGCGGGTGGTGCTCTGAGCAGGTATGTCTGATCTTATGTTCCCTTATCTCTGGGGATACAGCCCTGCGGCGTGGAAGACGATGGGGCTGAGGACTCATGGCTGATGGTTGTGGGGGATAGGTTTGGGGGTTTGAGATGATACATGGCGAGAGGTTGTATTCCCGCCGGGCTGTGCTGACCGACAACACTGGGAGGTACAGGCTGGCGCGGTTGATTTATAGGCTGGTTGAGAGCTGAGTGCTTTGCATATAAAGCATATAGGCTCAGGTCTTATGGTTGAAGGTGTTGGTAGGTGAGGTGGTAATGGTGGTGCTGGTTGTGGCTGCACTGACTGTCGGCGCTCCTGGCGTCTGGGGAGTATTTTCTTGAGATCGAGATGTAGGAAGTGTACACAAGGCGAGATTTTACAACGTCGTTCTCTCTAAGCCTGAGATGCTCGGTTAGATGAATCCTAGCTTGTGATGGTTCTCTTGCAACAATTGCCCTTGCACGTGACCGTGTTGAGCAGAATGCCTGCCTTTATTGTGACGCCAAGGTAGTTTATTATTTACGTGACAGAACCAAAGGAAGGAACTTGGTGCCTACAGGCAGCCATTCATGAAACTGTCACCGAGGCCTCAGTTGAACATATTACGAAACACCTTCCGATCAGTTCCGTCTGCTGTACCTAGTTACCACATTCTCCCTAGCCAAGGGATACCGAGACGATACCTAGAGCATCCGCTGCATACTCCCAAGGAGCAAACCAACGAATAAACTACTAGTTGGGAGGTGAAAGCAACCATCTTCTTTCACAATGGATTCAGCGCAGCTCTCGCAATTGAGCCGGAACCTGAGATCTCTCCCTATACCCACTACGACCGATGATCTCGAGGAGACGTTGAAGAAGCTGCAAGACCTCGCCGAAGTGGTCACGCAGGGCAATAGTCTAGCATTGTTCACCGGGCTGAAGCTTGTCGCGCTACCCACCCGAGATCCGGAAACCCTGGCCAAGGAACAGATGTCACCCAACGAGATCCTCCTCTATGAGGCATGGAAGGCAAGGAAAGCAGATCCCAACGTCGAAGGAAGCCTGCTCCCGAGCTTCGATTGGATCGCGAATGTGGCGCCGGTCCCTCAAGGCGCGCATAGTCTAAAGAAGCTCACGAAGCGGGCGGCGGCCATGGATGTGGTCTTCGATCATCAGGGCGCTACGCCGGAGAACGCTGCATGGCTGACCTCGCGTATGCCGGCAACATTGCCCCTGGTGAAGGCGGTAGCCAGGATCTCCCATTGCAAGCAAAGTCTCGAGCAGCAGAGCCAGGCGCACTTTCGCGGACTGTCCGACATGGAGGCCGCGGAGGTTGAGACCATCCGCAAGATTGTGGCCGTGGCAGAGGCCAACACAAATCGCGAGCTGGAAAGGATGCGCCGATTGGCTCGGTCGATCAGAGAGTCTGCGTCGATCATAAAGTCCCGCGCAGAGGCTCTGCAGGAATCTCGAGACCCTGTCTCAGCTTTACATGGAGAAGACTGAATGGGTCTGCACTCGAGAGATCACGATGAATTATGATTTATAAAGGAGAGGAGCAGACGCGGGTGGTCGGGAGAGTTTTCATAAGGGCTTGATAAGGTGAAAGGGAGAAACATCGATAGAGATCAGTGGGTGGACACGTCAAATCGAGACTCGTACTCCGTAAGTAGCTATCATCAGGGTAATGGCAAGAATCAGTGCAGTACATATTGAGTCTCTAGGACGATACACATCCAATGCCCTCGAATCGATGTTTTGGCCAATGACGCAAGGCTCAAACCACTCATACAGAGTCGACCAACCCCAAGCCTCGCGTTGTTCAGATTGAGGCAGGTGTGGACATCATCGGATATTAATCTGGGTCTAATCTGCCTGAATGCGCATAGCCAAGACCCGGAATAGGAAAAGAACCAGAAAGCCGAGCTTTTGGGGGGAAAGGGACCCTGTCGGTCAGAACTCAGCACTCAAGAGAACCTGAATCTCCTTTCCTTCCAGTATTCCCTTTCCATTCCTTCGACTTCCGGTATTTCCAGCTGTGCTAGGCAGCAACCCGGCATTCATTGTGTAGCCGAGCACCTCCTTGGGAACTGACGCACTGGACAACAGGTGATCTAAGACATGACTTCATACCTCACAACTAGTTAGGGAGGTCTCAGCCGGGAGACGACCTTTTTCTCTTCTCTTCACAGCACTCCAGTGACTTGCGGGTCGAAATGTCGAGCAAAGGTGGTACCGGTATGAGTTGGGCCCCTTTCCCTTGACCAATTTTTCCAGCTTGTTGCCATCGCCCAATTAGTACAGCATCTCCAGGAAAAAGAGACGGTCTCTACGGAACGGAGTACGTTGAACCACAGTGTACTGTACACACAAAGAGCAGAGGGCAGCTGAACGCGTGGGTTCGGAGTACTGCTTATTGACCGACGACCGACCCAGGCAGACGTCATATCGCAGCATCGCCCTTCCACTCCCCAAACGGCGAGTTCGAGTCAGGCGGCGGAGTGAGTCCAGCACTGACTTTTCGGCTTGAAAAGAAATTTCTCGTATTCGGTTCCGTAGGTTGCCGTTGCACGCCGAAGGGGGGACCACTCGTTATCATCATCAAGTCGTAAAATGAACGAGGGACTAAGAAAGCGGCGGGAATTCCTTCACCCACTTCTGCCAAGCTTTCAGGGTTTTTGAGGCAGGGGTCCTATTCTCCAAACCCTTTGCCTGTCTCCTTGCGACCACACCACTTGTTGCAGGAAACAACAGCCCTTCGTCGTAGAAACAACTTGAGCATGATGATAATCTTTCCAAGCAGCGCTACAGAGATTCTGCTGGATGCCGACCCGCGACCCTTCAGAAGGGACAACAGCATTGGAGTAGAATCACAGGTGGCAACAATAAGTTAACACTAGGTTTAGCCTGGAATGTCATGTTGTGACAATTTCCACACTAGCGAGAGGAGCGCCAGGCCGCTAGCAGCACTTACAGCGCTGCGTTGGGCCTGTTTCCTGGGTCACATTTAACTACTATGTACTTTCCGATACTGTCCCCTGGCTTTCTGTGAGTGGACATCTGCTGATTAGTCACAATGTATTCCATTCTAACTACTCATACAAGAGTAAACCAGTAGTGCATTAAATCTGCTGCGAGATATCGTATCCGTATTAGGGTTCAATTTCAACCCCAGCACGCTGCTTGACAGCTGGAATGAGTGCTAAATCACTGGACGCCGACTTCAATCAAGTAATAGAAACCTCGAATGAACACCCTGCACTGGAGATGAGAACAACAGAGGACCCACGCGATGCTGGCTCGCTTCCGAGTGAACCGTGTCTCTTGACAGGCCCGAACCAACTCTCATTTGATTGCGCACCGAGGTGCATGACTCTCGATGATTTACATTACGGTCCGAACAGATGTAAATCACTGTGATGACATAATAGTCGAAACTGACTCAACAATGGGAACGATCCCAACCGTGCTGTCTGCGCTACATAGCTGGGCTGAGATGGTCTAAATTGCCAGCAGAGACATTCTCAGAATCAATCTACACAACATTTCGGCCCTGTGTTTTGTGTAGAATGAAGCTGAGATTAATTCTGCAGCCAGATGTGATCACGGAATAGCCTCGGGGTACTTGCCTGCGGAACAACTTGTCTCGTAGTAAGTAATATTCCGAAGACCCTGGATGCTTTTTAGTGAGGGTCTGCAGCCACGAACTTACTAGTCAAGTTCCAAGGCTTTGAACACGGAGGTAGAAGCCCAGCGGATAGCCGAGCTTGGTTGGGTCTTGGCCGGCGAGTGTACTGTACATACAGTTGGACTTGGATGACAGCATGGCATTAAGTTAGAAATTACAGTAGTAGTATCGCTGCTCACCGAAACTGTGAGTGGTGCGAAGTCAAGGTTGAGGAGAATCAAACACCACCACCTCGGGTCTGACTGACGCTGTTGATCATTGGCAAAACTTGTCGGAGACGAAAGCGACTGAAGGACAGACGGACAGGACTTGGAGTGGTACCGAGCGTTAGGACGGAGTCGATGAGACTTTCACACTAGTTTCCCATCCACCCTGAGATTAAATTGTGACAATTTGATCAATTTGATCTAAACAGGTGGGCGGCCGCTACGGCAGGGTACTGGACCAAAACAGTAAGGCACAATTTGGTCCTGCGTGACAAGAATAGACTAGACTACACTACTACACTAAGCCGGACAACCGTGAGACCCTGAAACCGAAAAAATGATCGTTGTATCATTCATCACTAGCAGCATCATCGAGCCCGGCAAAATTACGGGCATTCCACAACGCTTTGGGTATCAGACCAGTTCCGGATTCAGGCAATCCTACCTTTCCTGTTGCGGAGGTGATGGAGATTTTCGGGGTTACACTCTTCCTCTCTTATATCATTCTGAGCTCTTTTCAAACTTCTCAAGGCTTTGTTTATCTCCGATCATCCTTTAATTGAATAGGTTATTGTCAGGTAAGCATAATCAAGGGGGGGAGAGAGAGGCGGGGGTAGTCCGAGATAATAATCCATTCGAGGTACTCCGTACAGTCCCAAAACCTTCGAAAAGATAGCAGAAAAATAAAAGGGAAAAAATGTTTGACTAGCTCGGGGCTCTTGTTGCAGTGGTGGCTGGATGATAAGGCAACTCATTGGCCCCTGAAGACAGGCTGAGGGAGCGGCGCCAGAGCCGAGAAATGTGGCCATTTGCCCTCAGTGACTGGCTATCGACTGTGACCCTGGGGCGGGATGACCCTACAGAATTACTGCTTTGGGTGCAGTTATGCGGGGACTGTGACCAGTTCATACCCTATTATATCAGTTATTATCAGTTAGATCCAGTTAGATCCAGTTAGATTCAATTGGCGTCTCCACTTCGACCATGGCCAAGAATACCTCCCAAGGGCCAGGGAGCAACCGGAAAGCCAGGCACCTCTTGAGGCCAACCCATGATCCGGGGCCCACACGCCTTGTTTCACGGGCAAGACACCTTAACAGTCTAGTCTAGCACTACTTAGTGGTCTAGCAAGTACGAAGTAGGGACTAGTTGATTCTCCTAAGGGAGGAGTCAGTCCCTAAAACTAAGTAATTCCTACCTAAATACGGAAGAGTGAAAGTCTCACGCTCTCTCAAGGACACCCAGGGCAAACAGAATAACAGTCGCCCTGAAGGGGAAATTCACCACCCCATTCATTCATCCATCCATCCATCCACCATCCATCACCACGGACCCTGCCTCCGCTTATATCGTCACACCCTGAATTTACCCCATTACTACTACTAACTAGTTACATCTAATAATCTAATAACACCGGCGATTTGTCTGCTCTCCTCATTCTTTTCCCTCTGTCCTCTGTCCTCTGTCCTCTGTCACCTTCCCTCCACCTTTCACAAACCCTCCCCCTCTCAAAAACAACCAACCTTCCCTGCGACGGACCACACCCCGTCCGTCTCCCTCATCATCTCCTCACCTCCTTCCTCGGGTTAACGCAGGCCCTGACGCCAGGGTCTGTTTGTTGCTTTTGAACGGCCGATCAAAGCTGACTCAGTCCTCTCCTTCACCTGCACCCATTAATCTGTCACGAGTCGCTTGACCAATCCTCGACTGACCAAATCTCTCATTCCTTTTCCTCAGCGCTGGCAAAAGAGAGTACCCTACGGTCGGCTTTAATTCTAGACTGGATTGCCAACCCAGCAGGACTTGGTAGCAGCAGGAGACCATAGAGGATTTACGAGGGATTTTAGTCTCGCGATTCGCGATCGGAAAACACCGAACTCCATTGTTGGTGGGATCACCCTTCCTGGTTACTTCGACCCATCGCGCGCAGTTTTGGCATGCTTTAGGGGCGTTCACCTCGGAACCATCGCGTGCCTCATTATCTGTCAGCATCGTCACTTCTGATTGTCGACTTGGTCACGAGCATGCTTGTCGCCCTTTCCGCGTCTGTTCGAATTATCTGCTTGGTCTTGTGACGTAGTTAGGCCACCTCTTTCTACGAGGACGTTGTCCGACCGTCGACGAGATCAAATGGCAGTCTTTGATGGAATCGGGTCTTTGCTACGACCCTGTCTCGCCATTTGGATGGTACTGGCGACCATCATCACCCCTGGAGCTTCTCAGTTCTGTTCATTCTGGAGTGGTAATTGTGTTGATGCGCTGGCACAAACCGCCGTCTCTTTTCAATTCCCTCCGCTTTTCACCGACAACCTCAACCTTTACTATGGATTTGATGCCAATGCGCGCGGAAAAGGTCAACAGCCCATGACCAAGGTCAGTTACTGGCTGAGCTATGGAGGCAACATCGACAATTCCATCATTATGGGCAACCACACCACCGAAATTGGCTTGCGGGTGGGAAATCTAACCGGCACACCTTCGGGGTCCAACAATGGGTGCGACGGCGTCTGGGGCCCGCAATGCTCCACCGACCTGAAGGCATTATTGACCGAGGCCCTCTACGGCCTCACGAGCAGTGGGGAATACTATACATTTCCACTGCAGACCGTCCTGAGCCAAATGCTTTTGAAGAGACCCCACCTCCCGAGTTGTTTCCCGCAGCTGTTCGACGTTGGTGGCATCCCTACCATGGGTATGTAATGCTGCTGCTCTGTCTGTTTGTATATCATCAACTAATCCCACGTGCAGCGTTCGTCCAAGAGACCGGTCCCGACCAGACTGCAACGTTCCAGACCGCCGGGTCGAGCAACAACCCGTGGAGGACATGGTTCCTCGACAACATGACGGCCCATGAGCAAGCTGCGCAGGTCGCAGTTGCCATTATTAGTCGTGCGCCTGCGTACGATGGTCTACTACCACAACAGAGTGGTGATGTGCAGGTGGAACTTGTTTGCACTCAGGCCCCCTCTTCCGGGAGCTCCTCATCACCAAGTAGCGGCTCTTGAGACCTCTGCATGTGGTTACTTGGTTCCTCTTCTAGGTTTTTGATGCCTGGAAACACTAAGGCATACAAACATCATCACGGCCTCTGTGCCCTATCTTTTATGACCGCTGCGCACGGTCATCCATTGCGCACAGTGTCCGCTCGCTCCGCCGAGCTGCATTATCATGGCAGTGTCGCGGCAGCTTACACCTGTTCACTCGACAAGCTTGAACCTTGCGACCTGGACATTCTATGGAAGGGGCACTAGGCAATATCGGGTGCCTACAACATGTCGACAAGCAGTGGTGTCGGATTGATATTGAGGACTACCCTCGAATAGCAGGGAAAGGCTGTCTGTCTGGGGCTGACGATAAGCCAGATTCATCGGCCAGCCTCTGCTGCGACCTTGATCATCACCAAATGTGCTTGTGCTGAGTATGTGGTGAATAGAGCGGCATGCTTGTAGGACGCTCCATTACTGAGACTGCGTTTGACCGGATCTGTGCCAGTTAGTCCAGGGAGTAGCCTCGTGTCGGCTTGCATCTTTAGCTGTGTTCTTGTCAAACCGCAGTAGCGGGCGCTATTTATTCGAAGCGCGAACTCTGAGCGACACAAATAATATACATCAACATGATTCATTAATATGTTAGATAACTGAAGTCGGAATCGCACCCCTATAATCCCCAAAGCTCCCAACACCAAGATCCATATCCTGTACATATGTCATATGCAATCACCCGCCTTGAATCACCTTCACCTCCTGCCCCCCTCCCTAGCAACAATCTCATAGCCAACCTAACCACAAACCCCCCAAGCACCGCTGAACTCTACAAAGTAGGCCACCCCATCTCAATCCCCTGCAACTCCCCCGGCCCGCGAAAATCCTCCAGGATATCCGCCTGCTCACTGAGCATCACCCGATCCGTCTGACAGCCGACCCGCGCCAAACCCCGCCAGCGCTCCAAATCCTCCGGGTTCCGCTTATCCCCCTTGGCCTCCTCATTGCGCTCCCAATGGCCCTTGGAGAACGCGATCAGCGTCGTGATCTTTCGGTTGGGGATATCGAACACCAGCGAGCAGATGGTGCCCGTCTCCTCGAGCCAGTTGCACTGCCACAGCTCCCCCGGCCGGATGCACTGGTACGTCGCGGTCTGGAAGTTCCGGCGGCCCGCCATGGGCCCCCCGTGGATGGCGTAGACGATCCGGTCCTCGTTGTAGAACCACATCTCGTAGCGCCATTTCTCCGGGTTGCCCGCGGCGTCCTGCGCCGCGTAGTCGTAGATGAGGTGGCGGTCGCGCAGGTCGGTTGTGAAGTGCGTGGTTGTGGTGGGGGTGGCTGGGAGGGCGGGCATTTTTTCTGTTGGTTGAGGTTGCGTGGTTGGTACTAGGTAGGTTTCGTTTGGGTATGGTATGTGTCGAGGTTGTTGGTGTGTGGTTTGGTGTATGGGTTGGGTGCGCGTGGATTGATGAGGGAGGAGACTGAGCAGGGATCTTTGGGTCTATATATATCTACGATTTTTACCTTGGTGTTTTCGAGATTGGATGGTTCTGGCATTGTAGAACTGGAGTGCCGTGGAATCTTCGGACTCTCTATCGGGTCTTGTACATATGTCACGCTCTCGTGTGCTCGGCTTTTCGTCTCGGGATGAGCGTGTCGGATGAGGCGGGATGGGGTGGGATGATGTCATTTCCTGGGTTTATGGTCTGTAGGGCTGGCTGGCTGGGTGCTATGGGGCCTTCTTGAAGGGGTGGTGGTATGCCTATTACCTACGGTGTACCGTACCGTTGACGACGTTGTAGTGGGGATTGGATGGGATGGGATGGGTTTACTCGGTTGGGGTGAGCGGCAGTTTCGGCCGGGTTGTGCCTAGGCTGGAGGGTTTGCCTAGGTTCGGTGGTGGTGGGTATGGTTTTAGGATGTGTTCGTGAGGTGCTGTGGATGGTGCTGGTAGTTGATGATTGCTGTTTAGGTGCAGTTTTCCATGTCTATGTGTACTACTACTATTCTTGGTTGGGTTGGGTGATTTGTGCTCTATGTGGCTGGAGATCTGGTAGAGTTGGGGTTCGGCCGAACCGTTGCATGATTTGCAGTCTTTCGCTATCGCATCCAACTGTACGGCACATATGTAGCATGAATGGGTTCTAATTGTTGCTGGTAATGGAGAAGGACGCCTCAATTCCCGGCCCTCTGCTTCATAATCGCTGAAGCTTTGAAGCTACTACGTACGTAGTGCGCACCCACGTGGTGTTGTTGCAGGCAAAGAGCCAAGATGGTCCAGGCGCTGCCGCTCGGCGCCTTATGCGGGGCGAATTGCTCGCTAAACTTCTACCGTCAACGCCGTCGATCTTGCCAAGCAAGTAGTCTCATGAGCCAAATTGGCTTTCCCTCTATGGTAAAGTTGTTCCTGCAGATTTGCTGGCCCTCCATGGTCTGTGTGTGGCTCGAGGATGGTCAGCTGCAAAAGCGAACCTTGGTTTCTTTTCGCCTATTGTTGGAGTTGTCAGCGCTTAAGGGTCTCAGACCACACAGTGGCGATGGCTGGATTGCAGCGGGATGCTGTTGGGTTTTACTACAGTAGTAGGTCGGGTTGCTAGATCATCTATTTTCCAGGGGCAAGGCATGCTATATATATGTATGAGGCTCGAGGTTATGCTGATTGCAGCTGCGATCATGGCATATTTATGGATATATTCGTGTGTGCATCGCTACAGCACTGGAAATCGGCAGCGACTGATCTCGTCCTACGCTCTGACCCGCTTTGCTTGACGATCATCAGTCATTCCGATACTCGATGAACGAGAGATTGGATTTCGATAGAGACAAGATAAATGTTCGAAAATTATACAGCCTCTATCAATGCTCTTGAACTAGCACTGGGTATATTTCTGTATGACTACTAGGGGTTGGTGGAACCAGTCCACAGACCGGAGCGATCGATCAGAGCACTCGGCGGCGCTTGCAGTCATCGAAGGATTCCAGATCGGGCTGGACCTCGTCGAATCTGCGACTGTGGACACGCGATAATACCACTGGCGCTTACTGCCGTAAACCGCTCGGAGAAACAGTCTGTGGCTTTCCAGAGAGCTTAAGTATGGGGCTTCTGGTATAGTTTGGGACCAACGAGTCATTGACCAGACAAGGCGATCAATGCTCCAATACTGCCTGCGTCACTCATGGGACTAGAACTCACCTAGCTCAATGGAAAGTCAACGTACCAGTCCATAGCTAAAGCATTACTGCAACATTTAAAGTTTGCAGTTCCACTGGGGAGGGAAGACCCCAAGCTCATGAGAGAGGGATCGGGATCGAATCATAAGCGAAGCTGGACCGACGTAGCTGAACGCCGTCATGTGTGACGGCATCAACGTTTCATATCGGATGAGGGCGGAAAATATGATGGGCTTGACAACGGTTGATTGCATGAGAGCTGCCGGTCGACTTGCTGTGGTGTGTCGAATGGTAAGTGAGCCCTGACCATCTGTGACCATTGGAAAATGCAGGGAGAGCTAATTATACTGCTGCAGAAGCGCCCGACTGCGGACAAGACTTTTGGGTATTATACATAAGAGATTTCAAGACATTGAGTCGAGAGACTTTTTTCCATTTGCACATAAGAGTATAGAATTTTTCTCCTTCGCTTCCCCCACTATCGATACTACTTCACACCTAGCGACGTTGGATACTTCCTCGGGAGTGGTTGAATAAGCGATTTGAACCGAAGTGTGTGGTGGTGATTTCATCTCATGATCTTCTCCCCCCCTCCCCGCTACCTGCATGACGTAGCAAACACAGCATAATCGTCATCGTCGCCCGTCCGAACATTCCGCACTTAAGCAACTATCCCCTCCCACTATCTGAAGATCCACCCTCAGCTTTATTAGACGGATCAGAAGTCCGCTGAAACACGATCGATATCTTCTCGAAGCTCAAGTCACTGTTGCCCGGGGCATCCTTATCGCTGTCTCACCCATTCCAGGACGGACTAGCCTATCAGATCAACCGGAGGATCTATACAACCCGTTTTTATACCTTCACAGCTTTAGAACTTACCCATTCAAAATGGTCGGAAAGGCTATCCCGCTCGGCCTCAGGCTCTGGGAGGTATGTGGCACACTCCATAGATGGCACCTTCGTCAATACCACCAGCATTTCGTGCAGAAGCACTGCAGCAGCGAAAGACTAACAGCGAGATGCTGGAATATAGTTCCTTTGGACTCTCCTCGTCATGGCCCTGATTGGTAACATGATCGCCGAAGCATTTGCAGGCAACCCTGCCACCGTCAACTATGCCATGTTCGTTTCGGCATTCTCGATGTTCACCCTCTTTTACACTATCCCCGCAACGCTTAACCCCGACTGGGCCATCCACCCTATCTTCCTGATCGCTATCGATACTCTCAATGCGATCTTCTTCTTGACAGCTGGTATTGCTCTGGCCGCCAAGCTGGAATGCCACAGCTGCAGCAACGACGTATGTAACCCCGAAGTGGAGCCGCAAGCCCTACATATAGGCCACTCCCAGGACAACAGGAACCCTTGAAACATATGCTGACTCTACTATGACACAGAGCTACACTCTCAACAATGAGATCACCAATGGTTCGAACAACCGCGGAAAGCGCTGCCGTGAGGCTCAGGCTTCCACCGCATTCCTCTGGTTCGCCTGGGTCGGCTATACCGTCTCCTTGGTCTTCTCGATCATGGGCTCGCGCTCCGCTGGTGTCAACCTCCGTGGACGCACTGGCCCCGCCCGTGGTGCTCGCCCCAGCATGGCGCAGGTCTAAGCGTGCGTCAAATATGTCCGTCGAGCCTGAACGGAGTCAACACACTGCTCCACCAGTGTTTCTCTCCCCAGGCGGCGGAAAAGCTCTGGACATACAAGACCACGGGTTATAATGCAAAGGGACAAACAAAAGCTAAAATGAAACGGTGAAAGAGAAATGACTTATGACTCTCAAAAGACGAAAACGTATGGGACGCAGTATGGGCCATGACGCCACACTCAAGGATGACAGTCAGAGTACCTAATCTGATGTCTCTCTGATGGCCGGGTGTTGGCTGATGAGATTCGAATATTCGACCGTTTGAAATCGTAATTATACTGGGATTTATTTTTGGATTCTGTTAATGGTTGGGGCTTGGGAATGATACGGGGCTATAATCGCTAGGCTGGATTGGGTGGAGTTGACAAATCTTTATCTTCTTTTGATGTCTATCTGTTTTACTATGTGACCGATAGTATGTAATACTTGGATCTAATATTGTGTGATTTTTATCTCTTTGTAATTGATGCCTGATTTTACAGGACAGTTTGGTAGATGCTCTAGCTTCTATATATATATGTAAGCAAAGAGGGTATAGTAGATGATTACTCTAGCATGTCTAAAAAGTCCTATGGTGGTTAGCAGATTCTGTATACGCTATAATCATAATCTAGGTAATTCTATTATCCGCCAGCGCTATCGTACTGTGATGGGGGATTGGCTGTGTAGTAAGACGAGATGGGTGGTCAAATAATCCACATTTGCTATAGCTAGCAGCTTTCTTTACCACTAGTGACCTTTTGAATCTTTTATATGTAGCATGATATAAATTATCACTGTCAAAGTTAAGTGGCTAGATTACTTCATCCCTGATCATTTAAGTGTTATCTTAGATTCCTACAACGTAGTGACAGAGACCAATTTTTACAGTGTTATTAATCGAGATTGTATTGATTATTAGTAGGTAGTCATGATGACGATACAGTATCTGGGGAGCCTTAAGTGTCTAGGGTATAGGCTCCCTACTTGCTTCATAAACACAATTTAACCAATCAGCCTAAGACAATACACAATTGTGTTATTACTCCGTATATCATGCTATCAGCTGAGATCCTGTCTTCCACCAACTGATTCCCAATGGTGAAAGAGTCTCGATTGGGGAGGGAGCTGGCTCGGGTCGATTGATGCATGCATCGTGGACCAAGTCAGCCATCGCTCAATAGTGTCTCAATAGCAAATCACCCTGTCATTTGATGTATTGTCTTCTATCTATTCGAGAGTGTCTACTGTGAATACCTCGAGCAGTCACAACAATGAGGGCAAGCAAGCAACGGCGGGGCACCGGTGCGGCCCGTGCAAGAATTTCTCCAGAGGCGGCGGAATCTCCCTCTACCTTCCACCTCCTCGTGGCCTTTCTTACCCCGATCTCAGCTCCTCTTCTCTTCCCCCCCCATACCTCCTCCCAACCTCAACTTCTCAATCTAAAGAACAATGGCAATCCAGTGAGATTGAACCAAGTCGTTTCTCTTCGGAAAGGCCGCTAACCATGTCCCCCCCAGCTACCTGATCCTCCTGTCGCGGCAAGGCAAAGTGGTTCGTGGCCCACCCAACTTTTGACCTGGCTGGAATCGCGGACTAATCGAAACAAATTTCCCACTCCCCAGCGCCTTGCCAAATGGTTCACAACTCTCTCCCCCAAGGAGAAGGCCAAGATCATCAAGGATGTGACCCAGCTGGTTCTGTCGCGTCGCACCCGCATGTGCAATTTCCTCGAATACAAAGGTTTGTCGTCATCGCATCCAAGCTCCCCCTCCTTTTTTCCCAGCCACACCACCCCGCAGCTCCGAATTCTGACCTGGGGACTTCGTCTCTCTCTTTCCTCTCAACAGACACCAAAGTCGTCTACCGTCGCTATGCCTCCCTTTTCTTTATCGCCGGCTGCGCATCTACCGATAACGAGTTGATCACCCTCGAGGTCGTGCACCGCTACGTCGAGCAGATGGACAAGTACTACGGCAATGTCTGTGAACTGGACATCATCTTCAACTTCCAGAAAGCATACTTCATCCTGGACGAGCTGCTGCTAGCAGGCGAGATGCAGGAGAGTAGCAAGAAGAATGTTCTCCGGTGTATCAGCCAACAGGACAGCTTGGAAGACATGGAGGTACGTTGATGCTTGTGTTCTGGTTTTCATCCCTGTCCCCTTTCCCATCGGGCGGGGAATTGAGAAGGAGATGTAGAGCTGGAAGGTATCATAACCTTTCAGCTTCATCTCATGAAACCTGCTCTGCAGTCATGATCGTCTTCAATCCGTTCCCCGATCCCGGTGCTCCTTTTCGCTAAGCCATGCCACAATTCGGGTTGCCCATCGCCGTGGCATCCTCTCTTCCTATTCATACCCCCTTGCAAAATCCCACACTCGCCCTCTTGTTTCCGCTACATTGGTCTCTCACTCCAGGTCGCCATCTCTTATGCATGCTAATACCCCCCCTCAGGTCGAGGAAGATGTGGTTACGAAGATCATGTAGCAGCTTCTCAGGCAGTCAAGCGTTTCCGTGTTTCTCTTGTTTGGGATAATCATGATTTTCTGGGCCCTGGGGGCCAGCTCTGTTGGCGTTGGACGTACTATAGGCGTTGTGTTCTACTGTTGCGACCTGTTTCCTTGTCTTTTTTTTTTCCATTTTTTCCGACTAATTTAATACCACCCAATTGACACTTCTGTGCTCGTCTTTCAGGAATCCAAGGAAGTGCTCGGCCACCTTTCCCAAGAAGGGTTGATCTGAAAGACAGGCAAGTCGAGCAAGTCTGGTTTGGCCAGCCTGGGGCAATCCGTGGTTCAGCCGCAAGACCCGTGAGGAAAGTGCGTGATATCACTGGCCGCACTGCCTCCTCCACGTGACCGGGGCCTTCCCCCTCCGGGGAACAACGCGACACCCCGGCCAGGCGATCCCCCCCCCAAGTGCCGTATCATTGCGACACCTCTCATCCCCCATTCCTCCATCTCTTTCGTTATTTCATCTTTTCTCCACGGCTATGCCAATTTGGCCTACAATTTCTGCCTATTAATCGCCAGATTTTCCACTTCACACCCTGCCAGCGTAGCTTGGGTACCACCTGCCAGCTCACTGCCCTTATCGCTGCTTGCGTGACGTCTCAGGAGACAAAGAACCAACCAACAAACGCATCGTGATTCCGAATAGTTGAGGAATTCACCTTCTTTATACTGTCGCAATCGGTGCTCTTCAGTCACACTGATAATCCATTCTCTCTCTTTCTATCCCATCGCCTTTTATCGTGATTCTTATCTACGTCATCCGCTCACCGCATATCTGGCCCCAGATGAAGGTACGACAGTGGTGCCTGCCGTGCCATGCAACACGCTCGCTACGGAATGTTGGTCGCTAACCAAGCTCTCTGTCTGAATAGTTCCTTCCTTTGCCCGAACTTGAGGACGTGACGAGCTCGCTGAATTTCGACACCGCCGACTGTCATATCGTTGGTGGCTGTGACCTATATACCACCAAGGCCGCCCGAGCGGATCGGAAGTTGTACAGGAATATTGAGCAATCTTTGGAGTCCCAATATGAATCCGTGCTTCGCCTGTCGGCTTCGCTGTCGCCGCCGAATGCATCCGACGCGGCCGCGTCGCTCAATCTGTCCCGCTCCAGTCCCTTTGGCCCCCTGAGCGATCACTCCAGCCGTCGAACCTTTGCATACTTGATCGCAACATTAAATGCCAGCCATCCCGATTACGACTTCTCACATGTATTGCGCCCGTCTGATTTCCACCGCGAGCGCAATCTCAAGAGGGTCATGAACACGATCGACTCCACATTGTTCAACTTGCGACCGCGCGAAGCCATTGACCTGACACCCCCATCGCCTGTGACCGTCTCTGGATCATACAACGCGGGTGCATCTGCTACATGGGGACCGAAAATGTGGGGAGTCATTAATGAGCATATGTCGCTGAAAGAGTGCTCATTGTATTCTTACTCGCCGGAGGAGGATCCGTCGGACGCCGATGACGGAGCGATCTGGAGTCTCCACTATTTCTTCTTCAACCGGCTTCGCAAGCGGGTCTGCTATCTTTATCTCCGAGCTATCCCGATCCTGAGTCATACTCCCAGTGAGGGAGTGGCTACGCCTACGACGAAGCGCACATATGATGACGGATACTTGACCCCCGAACTCAGCTCTAGCAAGCGGGCTCGCTATTGGCTGGGCGAAGGCGTCGAGCTCGACAGTGAAAGTGACGAGGAGGATCTTTCGAAGTCGCATCATGCTGGAGACGAGTACGATCCATATGTGCTCAGTGACGAGGAGTTCCGATCCCGGTCCGGTAGTAAAGGGACCGTTCGGGCGATGAGCGAGGAAATCGCCGACTCGATGGAAGTCTGATTGTGCTTTGCTGATTTTGACCGCACTTCCGCAGCCTTTTGCGCTGCTTCTGATTCTTCAACCTTGAACATGTTCGGCTTGCCACTCGATTCTCTTCCACTATGTTCGGCCAATCGCGTTCTGTGTGTTTCGGCGTTTGTTTTGTTACTGCATTCAACCTGCATTTACATAGGCTAGGGGCGTTATAACTGGCGAAGGAACGGATTTGGCCCCTAATTTCTTGCGAACGGCCGTTATGATGATGACAACGATCAGGCACTGCGTGGCCCGGCGCGGCGCGAAGGGCAGGCTCCACGCCGGCATTCCTATGGTCTTAATGTTCAGTTCGTGTATCTAATATAAATTGACTTGCGTTGACGGGAGAGTTTTTGTCTGGTTGTATTCTGTGGTGTGAGTATGAGTTACGAACAGGGATCAAATCGGTCTTCACCAAGAACTTGTAACTTATAGTTAGTACAGTCGATGCTTAGACTGTAGAATGAACGGCAGCCCGACCCCAAGTGGTCCGTGCGCGGGCAAGCTGTCCGTTCCGAACAACATTCATCATGTCCACTATCATTCTCGTCCTTCCCTCCCTTCGATACCTACACCCACACTCCTCTCCAGACCCATCCTGTGCTCCATCATGGCTGACGACGAGGAGCGCATCAAAGCTGAAAAGCTGGCGGCCGCCAAGAAAAGGGTATGTTATGTGCTCCTTGCGAAATCATCAACGACGGCCGTTCTCCGCGGAGGATGTGGTCCCCGTCCAACCGCGCCCGCAGTTCATGTCTAGACCAACCCCCCTAACGATCGGTCTACTACAATTTGACTTTGTGGATACCATTAATATGTGCTGATTCTTTTGGGTCGGGAATAGGTCGCGCAGCTACAGAAGCAGAAGAAAAAAGCCAACAAGAAAGCTGCGGGCAGCTCCGATTCTTCGAAAGCCGCGGCGCCCGAGACCCCTGCCGCCGCCGCCGCTGCTGAACCCTCGCCGGCTGATGATGCTGTACCGACGCCGGTGATAGCATCGGATACCCCAGTGGTGGTGGCAGAGGGAGCAGAAGTGCAGTCTGTTGGTGATACCGCCGGCGCCGCCGTCGACGCTGCTGCTACACCTGTTGAGATTGGGGGAGTACCTCAACCTGAGGTAGAAGTAGAAGCAGTAGCTGCGGAGACGTTACCCGCGACCGAGGAATCAGAACAGCCTACCACTACGACTGAAGAACCGAAGGAACCCACACCAGAGGAGCAGGAGGAGACAAAAGAGGCAGCAGCAGAACACGAAGATGGAGGCGTAGCACCGCAACCCGAAGAACAACCGCCCGCCGCCGCAGAATCCCCCCAAGCATCCCCCACCGCCACCGAACCCATGCCCGACGCGCCCATTACGATGTCGCCGGATAGCGAAGAAGCGCCGGCCTCTGTGCCCGGCACGACCCGACTCGACGGCCCGCCGACTCGTCCCGCCGGCCACGGACGCCAGCCTTCGTTGTCGATTCAGTCGAAGATGCGGTCGTCGTCCTTCCGGAAGGGGTCGGTCTCGCAGGGTTCGCTGTCGCCGTCGCCGTCCGCGCCTGTTGGAGGAGGCGGGGGCATGCTCAAGTCGCCTTCGTTGCCGCCTTTGAGTGCGGATGGCGAGGCGGTGCAGGAGGTGTACCGGAAGCAGTCGGCGCGGATTGAGGAGCTGGAGCGGGAGAATAAACGGTTGGAGAAGGAGCGGGAGGAGGCGACGGGCCGGTGGAAGAAGTCAGAGGATCAGCTGGAGGATCTGCGGGAGGCGAGTGTGGATGCTGAGGAGTTGAAGGAGAAGTTGGGGAGGGCGGAGGAGAAGGCCGCGGAGATTGAGGAGTTGGTGAGTTACTTTTCTTTTCTTTTTTCCTTCTCTGGTTCATGGTAGTCGGACTGGGATTTGAATCGATCGAGGCTAATTATGTGGGGGGTGTGTCTACTTAGAAAGCGGAGATTGCTTCGCTACAGAGACAGAACTCGCACCTGCAAACGCGAACGCACCGCAACAACGCCAGTGTGTCCGCCCCGGGACAGTCCGAGTCGCCGCCGGCAGATCTGGTGAAACAACTCGAGTCGAAGGCCGCAACGATCGAGGCGATGGAGCTGGAGATCTCGAACCTGCGCGCGCAGCTTTCGTCGCAGACGACCTCGAGCAGCGCGCATGAGGCCCAGATCGCGGCGCTGGAGGAGAAGCTCGCGACCGGTGAGACCGCGCTGGAGAAGTCTCAGCGCGAGCTGGCGGACACCAAGGCGGCATTGACTCGTGCCTCGGAGAAGGCGGTCAAAGAGGGCGTCGACAAGACTTCCAGCGAGACTCTGATCAAGAGCCTCCAACGGGAGGTGGAAGAGCTGAAGCAGGAAAAGGCCGACGCGGAGAAGAAGATCGAGACCCTGGAGAAGAAGCTCGAAGCCATGGGCAACCTGCACCGCGAATCTGAATCCCGTCATCAAGCACGACTGCGCGAGAGCGAGAAGGTGGAGAAGGAGGCCGCGGTCCTGCGCAAGCGACTCGCGACCGTGGAGAACGAGAACCTCCGCCTGAAGGAGGAGCAGGAGACCCTTCGCAAGCGCGAGGCCGGCGGGGCCGATGACGATGCTCTCGACGAACTCGAGGACGAGGAACGCTCTCGGCTGCAGCGGCGGATCCGCGACCTGGAAGGTGAGGTCTTCGATCTTCGCCGCGGTGTATGGCAGGAGAAGCGCGAGGAGCTCGCCGGCGGAGCCGATTATCACCCCTCTTTCAGCGGGGACCCCGACTCAGCGACGGCTGCGGCGGCGAATACCTTTGACGACGTCGACCTGATCGGCGGCTCATCTGCCGACCACGCTCGCCGCCGCAGCATGGCCCAGAGCAAATCCCACGGGCAGCACTCATCCTTCTCGACTGTGCTTAGCAGTGGGATCGCCGCGTTCACGGGCGGGAACACTTTCTACGGGAACCGAGGCCGCGCCTCGTCGAACCAGCAGCCCGCTGGCACACGGGGTAGCTTGGAGCTTCTGTCGGAAGAGAACCTCGATGATGAATTCGACGAGGCGGAGTTTGCGCGTGCGCAGGCAGAAGAGGAAGCTCGCAAGCGGGTGGAATGGGTGCGCGAGATTAAGAGGAAGCTCAGGGACTGGCATGGTTGGCGGTTGGATTTGGTGGACAGTCGGGCTGGTGCTGAGGGCGCCGGCGTCGGGATGGGAGAGATTTTCGAGATTTAAAGAGGTCTACGTGCAGATACATGCAGACTATCGATTATACCATTGTGTTACTTTTGTTGATGGCTTACCACATTGCCAGTAAGAGTTAAGAGTGGGAGGGTAGCTATTAGAGCGAGCTGGAAGTAGTGAGTGTACGAGTACTCCGTACGGAGTACTTTGTAGATATTTGGGAGTAACCCTTTCCAGTAAGGTGATTTAATGCGTGTTATCGATAAGCGCGGCGGTGGTGCTCCACGCAGGATTGCGGAGTTGCACCGCGCAATTCGGCCTACTTGGCCTTTCTTCCATCATCTTTCCCCATTTCATTGTTTCGTCCCTCCTTTCCCCCCCTCTCTTCCCGACTTTTCATAACAGCCATCTGCCCTGGAGAGCGAAGGGCTTGGTTCCACTGTCGCTCTCGTTTTGCTCTTGGTGTCTGCTGAATTAATGCCTTAACCGGGTACCCTTCGCCCTTGTTTGTCCATTGACGGGAGTGTGTGTGTGTGTCTCCGACACGGCAACTTTTCGTGATGAATGGGTTCGGCGATCACGGCCTCAATGAGGATGCTTTCAGCGAGAAGTCTCAGCTGCAGGGCGGCTTGAAGACGTTCGATGCTTTTCGTGAGTTGTCACTGTCTGATTCAGCTTGTCCCCATAAACCAGATACCCGTGGAGCTAGCTAGCCAGCCAGCCATCCAGCGACCCCATGCGCAACCCCCCATCTCCAAATCACCCATTCACATCCACACACAAACACAACCACTAACTCAAACCCCCCTCCCGCCTCACAGCCAAAACCAAAACCTCATACACGGCCCCCTCCCGCCGCGGCGGCCAATGGACGGTCCTGATCCTCCTCATCTGCACGGTGTTTTCCGTGTCGGAGTTCCGAACCTGGCTCCGGGGCACGGAAACCCACCAATTCAGCGTGGAGAAGGGGGTGTCGCACGACCTGCAGCTGAACCTGGATATCGTCGTGCGCATGCCCTGCGACACGCTGCACGTCAACATCCAAGACGCCTCGGGCGACCGCATCCTGGCCGGGGAGCTGCTGCAGCGCGAGCGCACCAGCTGGCAGCTGTGGACGGACAAGCGTAACCGCGCGTCCGCGCACGAGTACCAGACGCTGAGCCAGGAGGAGCCCGACCGGCTGGCGGCGCAGGAGGCGGACGCGCACGTCCACCACGTGCTGGGCGAGGTGCGCCGCAATCCCCGGAGAAAGTTTCCCAAGGGCCCGCGCCTGCGGAAGGGGGACAGCGTCGACTCGTGTCGGATCTTCGGCAGTCTGGAGGGGAATAAAGTGCAGGGGGATTTCCACATCACGGCGCGCGGCCACGGGTATCATGATGCGCAGGGGGCGCATTTGGATCATAATGGTGCGTG